CCTCGCCCCTCTCATCCTCATCCCTCTCACCCTCCTCCCACTCAGTCACCTTTCCACAACCTTCTGTATTCTCGGTCCTACAGCCTCTCTTCCACTGGGAGGGACCGCCCATTCCACTTTTCTCATGCCTCGCAGGTGAAAACAGTATGCATTGATCACCTTTCCCGGGTGGCTGCAGCTTGCAACATCAACAATACATGCCGCTCGGGCTGTTGGCTGGATGCATTCAACGTGACGTTCGGGATATGCAGACTACAAAGTGTGATGCAAGGCGGTGATTTTATAAGTGGTAAGTGATGCTGACGTGACTTTAGAAGTCCTTTCTAATGTAACGAATGTGCACTGCTCCCCAAAAAATAATTAAGGGAATTACTGTAGCGGTATTTGCTTAGATTTTTCTGCTATAAGTAAACTTCGTTGTTTTATCAGCAGTGCTAACATATAAGGTCAAAAGAGAAAGTTATATAGGTCCACATAAAATTTGTATTGGCAGTTAGTGTCTTAGGGGGTAACCTGTCGTTGAACTGTAAAAACCATGCCTTGTTTACGGTAGGCATTATGTTTGAAAGGACCATAACATAAGTAGTACTCATTAGAAAACACTACAACAGATCTCCATAACACCCACTTTGAGAGAGTTAGTTATGCACTCTAAAGTTCTTTACGTTTTCTATGACCAAATCAGTCTATCGCTGCCACACATTAATGGTAGACCCACTTATATATCCTTAGAGCTCTTCTATCCCCCTTACCCCACCTCCCTTCCTTTCCCTACCCTCTCGTCCCTTCCCTCCCTCCCTGCAACAATGCACCACTAAGCTCGCTCATGGGAAACTGTTGCACTTCTTGCAGACCTTCCATTGAAAACTTTGGGCCTCGTATGAAAGGAGGAATGCAGCAAAGATTATCACTGTGTCTAATGAGGGCCTTCCTGCCTCCTCTCTCACTGAGGTATTCGAGTGGTCCTAGTTGGAAGGTCTCTTTATTAACAGCTGTCAAAAATAATATTAAATCACTTTGGTTATTATTTTACACATTTGGAAACTGTAGATGATACTAGAAATATTGCATATAATGATCTCGTATAACTTTTTGAGTTTCAGATAAGAAAATCTTATCTTCGAAAGCCATAGCTTGGAATTCGAACACAGCCAATGCACGTTAACTAATATACAGCTATTTGTTTTGTTTACATTCAGTTCTTAGGGGTTTGTTAACCCTCTTCCACGCTCTATCTCCTCCTCTTCCCTCTTAATCCCCCTCCTCTCCCTCCTTTATCCTCCTCCTCTCCCTCTTTTATCCAATCCCTTTCATTTCCCCTCTCCTTTCTCCCTCTATCCCCTTCCTCTCCTGCCCCTCTTAACCACCACTCCACAACCTTCTGCATTCTTGGTCCTACAGCCTCTCTCCCACTGGGAGGGACCGCCCATTCCACCTTTCCCACGCCTCGCAGGTGAAAACAGTATGCATTGATCACCTTCCCGGGTGGCTGCAGCTTGCAACATCAACAATACATGCCGCTCGGGCTATTGTCTGGTTGCATTCAACGTGATATGCAAATGATATGCAAACTACAAAGTGCGTCTAAAAGTGTAAGTTTAGCACATTTTTAAATTTGCTAAAATGAGATGCTGACGAGACATTTAGAAGTACTTACTAAAGCTACAAATGCGTATTGCAAAACCATTTTAATTGTGGAATTACTCTGACATTTACAGCAAATATGCAGTAATCATTAGAAACCTTTAAGGGTTTGTAACCACTGAGTTATTAACTGGAAATTCTCTTCACGTTTTCTATGACTATTCTCTACTATGTGAGAATGGTAGACTAGCCTATAGTGAGCCTCCCTCCCTGCAGCGCTGCATCCCTGTGCTCCTGGGAAACTGTTGCACTTTTTGCAGACTGTCCATTGAAAACTTTGTGCCTCGTATGAAAGGAGGAATGCAGTAAAGATTATCACTGAATTCAGTAAGGACCGCCCCCTTTCCTACCTCCCCCTCTCACTGGGCTGTTCGAATGGTCCTCGTTGGAAGTTCGATTGATTATCTGCTGTCAAATAGGTAAACAACTTTGGTCATTATGTTATATATTTGACACTATATTGTTGCGTATATTGCATATAATGATCGCGTATAATGTAATGGGTTTAAATGAGTATATTTATGCAAGTCGAGCTGGGAATTCGAACACATCCAATGCAAGTTTACCATTATGCATTTTTTTTTTCACTTTCTGTGAACGAGCCTTGTCAAACCCCTCCCTCCCTCCCTTCCCCCTTCCCGTTTCAACCCCCCTCCCTCTCCTTCCCCTCTCAGCGTGCTCTGATATCTCCCTCCCTCTTCTAATCACTTCAGCTAACTCCCAATCCTTTCCCATTTCAATATTTTCCTTCTCACCCTTCTCCACCACCTCCCTTTCACCCCCTTCTCCACCTCCTCCCTCTCACTTCCCCTCCTCCCTCTCCCTTCCTTCCCCTCCCTCTATGCCCTCTCATTCACCTCTCCACCAGCTTCTGCAGCCTCTCTCTCCCCTGGGAGGGACCGCCCATCCCACCTTTCCCAGGCCTCACAGGTAAAAATAGTATGTATTGATCCCCGTCTCGGATGATTGCACTTGCAACACTAACAATGCATGCGGCTCGGGCTATTCTTACTGCAGAACTTTAGATGCATTCAGCGTGACCTCCGGGATATGCAAATGATGTGTAGATTACAAAAGAGCGTTGAAAAGCGGCGATCCACACTTTACAAGTGCTAAGTGATGCAGACATGACTTTTTGAAGTGCTACCTAAAGTTACGAATTTATATTCGTGTAAGGAAATACTATGGCGGTTTTTCATTAGATTTTGTCCGGAATAAATTAAATCTTAAAACCATTGCATGATGAAAGCCAACACCACTAAGCTAAGATGAATACTAGTGTACATAAGAGAAAATAAGTCTATTTTTATATTTTCTAATAATATAATATTAGAAAATATATAAAAGATTTTTTAAAAAAATTGGCCGACTGCGATGTTATTAACTAGAAAGGTTCTTCACGTTTTCTATGACCAGCTCCTCCCATCTCCACTATGTGAGAATGGTAGACTAACCTATAGTGAGCCTCCGTACGTGCAACATTGCATCGCTGCATCCCCCCTATGATCGCTCCTGGGAAACTGTTGCACTTCTTGCAGCCCTTCTATTGAAAACTCTGAGCCTCGAATGAAAGGGAAAATGCAGCAAAGATTTTCCTCGAGTGCAATATGGCTGCCTCTACCCCACCTCCCTCTGTCCGAATTCCTTGTTATCTTGTTGATGAGATAGTTCAAACCCACACGAAGTTACATCAAAAGTCAACTCAAAACATACAGAGTCAATGAACGTCAGTTTAAAAACAAAACAGTCTACAATATTGTCTTTGGCTTCTTATTGAACATAAAGTTAATACATAGTTGCACACCGTTTCAGAGCTTCGAACGCGGCCAATGCAAGTTGGAACGGCTGCAGCGTTTTTGTTGACATTCGGGTCAGAGGCCCCTTGGTTCATGCGTATCGTCGATCCTCATTGGTCGCTGGCTAAGTCAGACACATCCTGTACGTTGATTGGACATCGAGGTCATCGGGGTAGCCAATCACCAGCTAAGATGCACGTAAATAGGGTGGGTCAGATCCAAAAATCCCTGTTTTTATAGATGTATTGAAATGTGGGAGTAATGTTTGTAAACACACTTGGCGCAGTTTTTTCTCCTGTCCACTCGGTTGGGGAAATTAGTTTGTTTCACTTTGATAGGCTTATCATAGGCCTACTACAGTGCTGCTTATGTTGATGATCCGGAAGGAAATGACATTATAATGCTTTCCTTAATTCAAAACAACTTCATTGCTCAGGAACACGTTGCAACACTGTGGGTGTAGCACATGTACACTTGTACACACTCAGCAACAAGTCACAACACTGTGAGTGTAGCTTGTACGCTTGTACACACATGTACAAGCGGACACATGTACACATGTGTGTACAAGCTTGTACACACATGTACATGTACACTTGTACACACTCAGCAACAAGTCACAACACTGTGAGTGTAGCACATGTACACACATGTACAAGCGGACACGTGTACACATGTGTGTACAAGCTTGTACACACATGTACATGTACACTTGTACACACTCAGCAACAAGTCACAACACTGTGAGTGTAGCACATGTACACTTGTACACACTCAGCAACAAGTCACAACACTATGAGTGTAGCACATGTACACTTGTACATACTCAGCAACAAGTCATAACACTGAGTGTAGCACATGTACACTTGTACACACTCAGCAACATCACAACACTGGGTGTAGCACATGTACACACTCAACAACATCACAACACTGGGTGTAGCACATGTACACACTCAACATCACAACACTGGGTGTAGCACATGTACACACTCAACAACGTCACAACACTGGGTGTAGCACATGTACACACTCAGCAACGTCACAACACTGGGTGTAACACATGTACACACTCACAACGTCACAACACTGAGTGTAACACATGTACACACTCAGCAACATCACAACACTGAGTGTAGTACATGTACACTTGTACACTATGCTTCATTCAACTAATCGTGTGTAGAAAATGCCTGTCATACCACCACATTGTAGCATGGACTAGACATCCAATTAGCCACCAGTAACATCACTAAACACGCCATTAAAAGATGCATATAATGCAGCAACCATACTCCCTGGCATCAATAGACGCAAAGAATGCAGCAACCATATGCCTAAATATGCATATAATGCAGTACCCATACCCCCCTAGTATCAATAGACACAATGCAGTAACCATATGCCCAAGGTAACGTGCATATAATGCAGTACCCATACCCCCTAGCATCAATAGACACAATGCAGTAACCTGAACATCAATAGGTGCAAAGAATGCAGTAATCACAAACCCGCATCAATGCACGCGACCAAACGACTAGATAATGCATATTTACTGACCTGCATAATGTTTGTTAAGTGGTGTACTGTACTTGGTGATGGCCTGGAATGTTTTGGGAAGCGCTCCGCCCTGCACGAGGGACCTGCTCACACTGCACCCTTGCTGGGTATCTCGCCTGCAATATAATGCATCTGCAACCACCGTTCCCACTCACCCCCCCTTTTCCCATCCATCTGCGTCCCCCAACATGAACCCCCCAGACCCCACTTCGGCGGCCACTGCATTACCACTCCCACGAATTTCGCCCTTAAGACCAGGAAATACATTGTATACAATTATGCAAGACACTGCACTTCGCCTTGATGCCATATCGATGTGCATTTTCGTTGCATTTTCTCTCTCCCCTGCTAATTCAGTTTTGTTAAGGTCCTCATCAATAGTTTACACGTGTTTGTAATGCATCACGATGCATCAATCCGCCGTAATGCAAATGGGTAAGTGATTGATAAAGGGATTAATAAAGTTACCCCAAGCGGCGGCGGCTGCATTCCCGCCATCACCTGCTGCCGTCGCCTGCTCCCTCCACACCTGCCCTCCTGCCAGTACCTAACGCTCGAAGTCCATTTGTATTCGTCGTTGTGTACGTCCCGGCGGCCCCTTGATCAATGTTCTCTGCGGGAGTATATCTATTGAGGCTGGCCGGGATGCAGTGGTTTATATTATTGGTTGCTTGTGCTATGCATTTAGACGAAGGTTTTTAGAATTAAGTGAATGTTTTAAGGATTTGTCGGCGACCCTGATCGTTCTGAACGAAACTCAGGGGTTTGTTTACCATCGGCGGGAGATTGTCCCACGGTCCCATCATGCCCTGGACGACAGGTTACTGCACCTCCTCAAGTAGCAGTAGACTTTTAAGTACATTTATGTGCTTTTGTGAAAATCTTAATCATTTACAGCCTGAGCGGGTGCAAGTTGCAGCCGTTCCTGTGGCTTGCAATAGGATATAACCTGCACCTGGAGGGCTGCATTTTCCATAGGTTTGGGGCCACAGTGGGGCGCCCCTTAACCCTCAACACTGCACCCCTCAGACCTTTTCTTCTTTCTTTTCACTTCCTCTGCCCTCAAGAGTACAGAGAAATTGATTAAAAAAAAGCGCAGCAAAAACTTCCATCTCCCATGACTGCATATGGGAAAAAGTGCATAGTGAAGGGTGCATTCTGCCCGGCCCCTGGGGCCCTGGCCCTCACTCTCGCGGTCCATTGCATCCGCGATAGCAACGCGACGCTGCAGCTGCTTCACCGGGTTGCATTACACAGCCGGAGGCGACGGTATGCAAATGCAGTGGCGGGAACTGTGTTCTCTTTACCGGGAATGTTTTACGTTTTTCGCTACAGAGGCCTTCGACACAGGCGGCCCAAGACTGGGGCTGGCAGTGGTAAGCCAGCCTCCAAGGGGGGCAGACGCCGCCGGGTCTCAGGGAAAGATGGTATGAAATGCATGTAGACCTGTGAACAGGTATATATTTTATGATTATTTGAGTATATTTTTAAAAATGTGCAATGGGTTGTGTAACTACTAATTTTGATGGTTGAAAGGTACGTAGATTGGTTGCTTAATACATATATTAATGATAGCACTCGCTGCACGCACGCACGCGCGGGCACACACACACACACACACACACACACACACACACATAGCTCTCCTCATAGCTCTTGCCCTTCAGTTCTGGGAGACACTTACTAGCATGTCTTTGCACCTTATCCAGTTTGTCGAGCACATCAACAAACTGGAAAAGGTGCAAAGACATGCTACTAAATGGCTCCCAGAACTGAAGGGCAAGAGCTATGAAAAGAGGTTAGAGGCATTAAATATGCCAAAACTAAAAGACAGAAGAAAAAGAGGTGATATGATCACTACATACAAAATAGTAACAGGAATTGATAAAATCGATAGGGAAGATTTCCTGAGACCTGGAACTTTAAGAACAAGAGGTCATAGATTTAAACTAGCTAAACACAGATGCCGAAGAAATATAAGAAAATTCACTTTCGCAAACAGAGTGGTAGACGGTTGGAACAAGTTAGGTGAGAAGGTGGTGGAGGCCAAGATCGTCAGTAGTTTCAAAGCGTTATATGACAAAGAGTGCTGGGAAGACGGGACACCACGAGCGTAGCTCTCATCCTGTAACTACACTTAGGTAATTACACACACACACACACACACACACACACACACACACACACACACACACACACACACACACACACACACACACACACACACACACACACACACACACACACACACACACACAAAAAAAACACATTAAGGTAATGAAACTAGGCGGTGGGAACAGGAGGCTAGACACAGGATACAGAATGGGAGATGAAGTACTTCATGAAACGGACAGAGAGAAAGATCTAGGAGTTGATATCGCGCAAAACCTGTCTCATGAAGCCCACATAAAACGAATAACATCTGTGGCGTATGCGAGGCTGGCTAACATCAGAACAGCCTTCAGGAACCTGTGTGAGGAATCATTCAGAACTTTGTATACCACATATGTAAGACCAACCCTAGAGTATGTGGCCCCAGCATGGAGCCCGTAGCTTGTCAAGCACAAGACGAAGCTGGAAAAAGTTCAGAGGTATGCCACTAGGCTAGTCCCAGAACTAAGAGGCATGAACTACGAGGAAAGTGCGTGAAATGCACCTCACGACACTGAAAGACAGAAGAGTAAGAGGGAGACATGATTACTACCTTTAAAATTATCAGGGAAATTGACACGGTAGATAAAGATAAACTGTTTAACACTGGTGGTAAGCGAACAAGGGGACACAGGTGGAAACTGAGTACCCACATGAGCCACAGGGACGTTAGAAAGAACTTTTTCAGTGTCAGAGTAGTTGACAGATGGAATGCAATAGGCAGTGATGTGGTGGAGGCTGACTCCATACACAGTTTCAAATATAGATATGATAGAGCCCAGTAGGCTCAGGAACCTGTACACCAGTTGATTGACAGTTGAGAGGCGGGACCATAGAGCTAAAGCTCAACCCCGCAAGCACAACTAGGTGAGTACTCAAGCACACAAACAGTCACGCACACACACACACACACATACCACCTCAAGTGTTACTGCCCTGTATATGTCTGTCTACACATTGAGGTGTTCCTGCCTGCCTTTCATCCTCGTGTTATAACAACCATAACCCACATCACAACCTCTGCCTCTATGCATCACTCAACACTCCAGCTTGACAGCACACAAAGGAGGAGGTTGTAAAAAAAATCTATAGAATCCCATTTACATTTTTCCTTTAGTTATCGCTTCATTGGCGAAAAAAAACGTTTTCTTTGTGTATTGCCTCTTCGCGGACTTGGCTGCTGAGATGTACCGCCCAGGAGCCGCCCGCGTAACTCCCGCCCAAATGAAACCCGGCAACCCAAAAGCCGCCCACCCAAAAGCCGCCCACCCAAAAGCCGCTTGCCTAGCGTACAGCCACCCACCCAAAAGCCACTTTGCTGAGAACAGCCGCCGCCCTCGTTCTCAGGGGCACGCTGGGACACCCGACGCAACTGGTAACCCTCAATGAATGAGAACTTTTTCTGCGAATTTTGAGAAAGGAAATGCAGCGAAGTTTTGTTCCGTATCTGCTCCTGAGGCTGCAACTGTCTGGTGTGGGGTTCCGTATATGCTCCTGAGGACCGCTGGGGCCCCTCAAATATCTCGGGTTCGATTCCCAGCCGAAGCAGAAACAAATAGGCAGTTTCTTTCATCTAATGTCTCTGTTCTCCTAGCAGTAAATATATAGGTGGGAGTTAGACAGCTGGTGTGGGCCGCATTCTAGGGTTGTGTTAGAAATATATATATGGATATGATAGAGGAAACTATAGGTCGGGAGTTAGTATATTTGACAACAGGCGCTTAGAAAGGCGGAGTCCAAGAGCTAAGAGGTCGATTCTGCCGGCACAAATATATATATATATATATATATATATATATATATACACGGAACACCAGGTGCAGGAGAATGCTCGTCTTGCAACAATGACGCTCCTGAGATGGTTGTTGCATTGTTGACCTTTTTTTTTTGGTTGCCGTTGCAGCAGCGAGTGCATTTGGTGGTGGGGGGGGTGTACCAGCACCACGGTGCAGTACCCCCAAACTGGTACCCTTCTTGGTAGAGGGGTACCACCCAGTGTGGCAGCACGATTTCGCGGGCACGACTTCGCGGGGACGATCTCGCGGGCGATAGTGTCTCTGTCTCTGACTTACATCATTATTATTGTTCAGTTTAAAATCATCATTGTTATAATGATTTGTAGATATTTTGTCATTGTTATCAATCTTGTCATCAATATTTCTACCTTCAAAGGTAGCAACTATCACAACTACCACCACCAGCCACCACCATCAACCACCACCACCTCCACCAAGCTTCACCACCACTATACCAAAACAATTCTCCAACCACAGCAACCACTACCCCTCTACCACAACTCTTCAACATGCCCATTGTTCACTACCACAACTACCACACCTCCCTCCCAGCAACCCCCCCCCCCTCCTCTAACCCCACACCCCCCTATGTAACATTGCAAGAGTGTAATCGGGTGTTCCCTTCTTGCACGCTTCATTGCAATGGTTGCAACAAGTAAAAGTTTTATTTCCTTTCCGCTTTGTCCACCTGTCCCTTGCCTGCCCGCCTCCCTTCCCACCAGCGCCGGGCTCCTGGTCAACCCACCATTGCCTGTGTGCAACCGCTGCAACATAATGTCGGGATGATTTAGCTACGCTGGGCTGGTTGCTGCTATGAGTTATGAGAGGTAGACTATTGGGTGGTGTACCCAAGCGTAAGGTGGAGAGCTGGCAGCCACATACCAATCCATATATATGTGTGTGTGTGTGTGTGTACTCACCTATATACTCACCTATATGTGCTTGCAGGATCGAGCATTGACTCTTGGATCCCGCCTTTCTAGCTATCGGTTGTTTACAGCAATGACTCCTGTCCCATTTCCCTATCATACCTAGTTTTAAAAGTATGAATAGTATTTGCTTCCACAACCTGTTCCCCAAGTGCATTCCATTTTTCTACTACTCTCACGCTAAAAGAAAACTTCCTAACATCTCTGTGACTCATCTGAGAGATGTTAGGAAGTTTTC